CGTATGTCCCATCTCGATGCGAGAGGTCGGCAGAGATCAAAGTGTTGTATCACGGGTAGTAGGAAATTAAAGATAGTGACGAAAACGATCGTCGCCTGTCGGAGCCGATTGATGTCAGCGCTTGGGTCATGTCAAATATAGTCGTAGTGCACTCACCCATATGACCCAACGGTATCCCTTTGAGAAATTGAGTGCCAGGAGGTATGTGCAAATGGAAAGCTTCACAATCCACATAGCATAAACATTGAGGAGCTGGCTCGCAAAGACGAGACGGTTCTGGTAGACCATCTTCTCCAGTGTATTCGGCTGCCAAAACGGATCGCTCAAAAGACGGCCCGCACCGTGAAAGGCGGAAACGATGGAAACGGCCATAGCGGAGTTGTTCATCGCCTGTACGAGTTGGTTAGCTACGCATGAACTTCGACCTAGGCTTTTTGCTCACTCACTGCTCCGAGAATCATCAACCAGTCGCTCACTCGCATCCACGGAGATGCTTTGAACCTGATCGTTATTCGCCAACCAGCGAAAACGGTGCTAAACATAACCATGCAGATCGAGACAACAATGAGTTCGAGGTGCGTCGTAGGTAGGTTCTCGGCGCCTTCCATCTTGGTGGCCTATCTGGCACCCGATGCACAGCAGTGAGATCGAAGAATGGAAGATGAAAGCCAACTTCAGCCACATAACGAAACAAGAGAACCATTGTCAAGAGTTCAAGATTACGGACATGTGTCTTTCTCTGCCTAGAAGCATGCATGCCCCAACTGTTCTTCCTGTGTAAACCTTGTCAGCGATTTATCCGTCGCATGCTGAGTACTGGTTCATTGAGGCACAGTACCTCTTGACATGATAGCAGTAATCTCTATCACACGTAAGCCTTCGCCCCGGCCAATTTGTTCGCCTTTTCTTGGCGCGTATGGTGTTTGTCGACTGTTTCTCAGTGGCCACAGGACATTTGCCGGGCCAGGCACTCCAGGGGAGCAGACATCTCGGATATTTTTACCGTTACTTGTGGGTAGGCCATGTCGATACCAAGACACGCATAGCCCGCATATGCATGGCAGGTACCGATGTCAATCGCTGTGTTGGCACCTGCGTGAGTCCGAGGACGTGTGCGTTGGGAAAAGAATTCGATTTCTACATTACACCCGGCGGCTGATGATTGCGTTCTTCTCTTAATTTTCGCCATACGACTGCTAGAGGTGGCATCGATGGAGCTGCATCAAGGCAAGGAAGACATCTGCGGAAGATAGTGTTTTGGGTGAGGCGCATGCGACCTCGGAAGGCTGGTTCTCGCGGAGGAAGACGCGCCGCCGCCGCCGCTTGGCGCCCCACACGTTAACTCTTCGTGATTTGCTCGGCAGGCGCCAAAGTGGGGTTCCTCTGGAAACACGCATCGGAGGGATGCACGATCAGCATTACAACATCAAATGGAGGTCGACACCGAGATGAATACCATGCGAATGCATTTGTTGATACTGGAAACTTGTCGGTCCAGAACGACTCGGATGCAACACACCGCTTGTCACGTGCAGACCGGGTTCAATGATGTTGAGAGCTCTAACCGTCACCCTGGCTAAATCATGGTACTGCTGAGCATTTAATTGTCTCGATGCCCCGGTAAGAGTTGATTCAGTATCGACTCCACCGTCGCTGAGCCTGACGAATCACGACGATGCCATTGCTCAAGTTCAGCTCGCTCGTCGGTCTCATCGGCTTTCTTTCAACAGCCGCAGCGGCGGTAGTGAGCGCTCGGCAGACATCCTCGGAGCCAGGAACTTACGATTACATTGTAGTGGGCGGGGGGCTGAGCGGGCTCGTCGTTGCCAATCGCTTGACTGAAGATGCAGATGGTAAGCACCACGCGCCTCTCAGTAGGATGATTCACCTGACTAACAGCGTCAAGTCTCTGTTCTGATCATTGAGAATGGCGTCATCGACAACAGACCCACGACAAGCGTGCCTTACTTTGCCAACATCAACGCTGAGAACTATTACCCCATTACGTCTGCGCCAGAGCCTTTCATGCAGAACAAGACCTGGATGGTGCATGTAGGTAATGTTGTTGGCGGTGGCTCAGTGGTCAACGGAATGCAATGGGATAGAGGTTCCGATGCAGACTACGATGCATGGGAGCAGCTGGGAAATCCGGGATGGAGCTATGAAGGCCTCGCGAAGTACTTCAAGAAGTCTACTCATTTTGATGGCCCCTCGGAAGCAGTTCGCCAGCACTTCAACATGACATTTGATGCCAATGCGTGTGTGCTCATACCGATTTCGGCTGGGTGATAGCTAACCTGTACATAGATATGGTGACGGTCCAGTCAAAGTATCGATACCGAACTACCAGTACGAGGATTACGTCGACATCATGGCCTCTTTTGTATCCCGGACCGACATACCGCACTCACCGGAGGGTCTCATTAGACCGATTGGCACGTTCTGGACGCCAAACTCCATCGATAATTCCACCAAGCAGCGAAGCCATGCTCGCAGAGCCTACTACGACCCAGTTCAATCACGAAGCAACTTGCATCTTATGACCAATACACACGTGGACGAGATCCTATTCAAAAACGGTACTACGCTCGCGGCAAGTGGTGTCAAGTATACATCGAACACCGGATCCTTAACCGCATCTGTCTTTGCAAAGAAAGAAGTCATACTTGCAGCCGGGAGCGTCTTTACACCGCATCTGCTCATGCTGTCAGGCATCGGTCCAAAGGATGACCTATCCGCTGCCGGAATCGCTGTGAAGAAAGACCTTCCGGCAGTTGGTTCGAACTTCCAGGATCACCAAGCCTTGTACATGCAGTTCAACCTCTCCAATCAGTCCATCCCTAATCCCGACATGCTCGTCACAAAACCCGACCCAGTCTTCAACGCCACAGCTGCCGATCTGTACGAAGCTAATCGTACGGGTCCATGGACCTTTGGACGAGGCAATGCTGTACTCTTTCTTGCATTCAAGGATTTCTCGGACAAGTACGCCAACATAACCGCCCTCATCTCTGAGCAAAATGCCACTACCTACCTACCACAACGCTATTCAAAGATCGAGACCTTGCTGAAGGGCTTCATTGCACAGCGCAAGATTCTCATCGAACACTACCTTTCCGACGACGCGGCCACGGGTGAATACCCGATCCAACCCTGGGGTCGGGCAGCTACTGCAGTACAGAAACCTCTCTCGCGCGGTATGTTGACCCTCAACACCACGCATCCATCAGCAAATCCGATCGTCGTCCGGAACGCATTCCAGAACCCAGTCGATAAATTAGTGCTTGGTGAGCTCGTGCGCTGGAACAGGAAGCATTGGACCACCGCACCCCTGCTGCAGCGCTATGCGCCCGTCGAAGCCGTGCCGGGCGCGCAGTTTCAGACCGACGATGAGATTTTTGACGCGAGCATCAAGGCGGCTGCTTTGAATCCGACGTATGCGCATTCGAGCGGCGCATGTGCGCTGATGCCAGAAGAGTTGGGTGGATGTGTGGACCCGCAGTTGAGAGTCTATGGCGTGGAAGGATTGAGGGTGGTGGACGCGTCGATCTTGCCGTTGATACCGGCGGCGCACCTGCAGGCAACGATGTATGCTGTCGCAGAGAAGGCTGCGGATATCATCAAAGGAGTTTGATCAAAGTTCTTTTTAAGAGAAATCCGATGTCGCGATGCTTGCCATAGAACAGGGATGGTGCGCGCATCTGACGGTCTTCAGGACTGACCGGTGCGTCGCGCCTGGCCGCTGGACGCCTGGCCGGGGGCGGCAGATGGATGCCTGGAGCGCGCCACAGCCGCATTGCTCTGCATGCGTTGCCTCGACACTGCTACTCACATCATTCCATAGTCGAAGATATCCCTAAATAATTCCGTGCCCTTTCTTACGTGTCCGTAGTCTTACCATGGGGCTGTCCTCAAGCACCATCGGCCCACCGGTTGATCCCTTGTACGTGTTTACAGGGCAAGGTGATGAACACTAGCATCACTTTGAACAAAGTACTGATGCAAGTCATTAGGCCAGGTGCTGGGCCTGTTATTGGACGAACTGTATATCTATTCAGAAAACTTCTTGAACGGGCTGCGCAAACTTTTTGAAGCAAAATCAACATGCGATTACGAAGGCGGGCCTCCATGTAAGGTAGTCCGCTCACAACAGGGTCGCTTGCTCACTAAAGCAGATTGGACGGTTGATACCTTCGTTCGCTACCTGGTCCAACGGAATCCCGATGTGCCCCACGAAATCAAGAGGGCCGGACCACTGCTTTACCGGATATTGGTACATTATGGATCATTCCCGTTCCCCGTCGATGAAGACAAACGTGTGACAAGCGGCACCTTCCTTCGCGGCATTTCTATGCTGTCTAAAAACAAGCATCGCGTTCTCTCGCACGAAGTTTCCAGGTGGCAGGGCGGTGAGCCAGTCACCAGAGAAAGAGGCCCAGTAGATGACGTGCGAATATTGTTTCGGAGCATGGCTACTGGTAACTCGCGCACATTCCGAAATCCTGGTCTCCGTTCGGAGGATGACGACGAGGACCTCATCGATGTTCTGTTCAGGCTGGGTGAGAAACTTCGCCAGCGGCGGTCTCCCAAATACGGCTTCATGCGTAAAGACGTTGTGCTAGCTGCCTCTCGGCTTCCCAGTTCGTGCTCGAGAAGCTTGGGAGGATCTGTGTCAGTACACGACTTGGAGATCTTGTTTGATCTCATTGTTTCCTTGTTCAACAGACTGTCTGGCGCTACAGGGCGACCGCTAAACCAGGCAATCGTTGGATGCATCATCGAGGGCTTTAGACAAAATTCGGAAGACATGACCTCCCTCGACTGGCCGACGTTTCGAGACACCATTTTGTCCTCAGTTGTAAGGCAGCCCATGTCATCCTGACTTTGTACAAACGCTCACCAAATACTAGCCCAACCTACTTTTGGTACTAGAAGCAATCATCGAGCAGAGTTTCCGCATCACCCACGACTCTTGGCACGGACTACCGTACGGTCTTGCCATGACAGTATGTGAAGCTGCCTGCAAGTGGAGACACAGTCAGAAGCTGACCCGCAATAGGGCGTCTACAACAGGGTTGCGACATCCAAAACCATCGCTGTAGAGCAGCTCGCGCAACTGTTCCTGATCATGTCTCGCGACTATGACCTGGCGCCATACATTCAAGCCATTGATGTGCAATTACAACCTGGCAGCATTAATTTCCAAGCCGACATGCGGCACATCACCAACATCGCGACGATCTTACAAGCACCGGATCACCTGCTCATTGTACAGACCACGGAAGATACGTCGGAAGCCGCGCATCAATCCACCACGATTTGCGTGTACACAGGCGCGCTTGGAGGACTCCAAATTGACAACTTGGATCCTCCTCGGGTTCGGTTCCTTAGACCTGGAGAGAAGTACTCGATTTTTGGACTTTGCCCTGTACACCGTGTCTTCCAGAAGGCAACGAATGATCCAGAAGATACGTTAGAGGTACTTGCGGAGCAGGATGGCGTGAAGATGACTGCTGGAGCCTTGAGTCTTACTTTGGGCGATTCGCTGCGCCATTTAGAGGTCGATGGACGCTCGATGGCTTTCGAAGGCAAAATCACCGCACTTGAGATATGGAAGGTGGGATATGAAGAATGACCTGGGAAGACACCTTGAAGATGTACGGTAGCAAATGAGCATAGGAAGAACAAGCTTCTTCGCGTTGCTAATAGCTTTCCGGGCGGGGCAGGATCCTAACCGTATGTGGCGTAGCGCAATGCAAACTTAGAGTGAAAATGCCTCCGACCCTCTGGTTTCCCCCGCACCACCAATCCGCTACGAGTAAAATGACGTGCTCCGTGGCAAGCTGTGCGAAATGCGCCAGAAGTGTAATGATCGCTGACTCGCCTGCGAATTATGGGTATCGCGCTCGTGCTCAGTCGGGAAGTAAGCTTCGCCATGAAAAGCTTCCATGCGCCAGCTCTGAGCTTCAGCTCTTACATCGCATCGCATCACTGCGATAGACCTCGCTCCAACAATGACGACTACCGACCCTGAGAAAGATCCTCATGATGTCGCGGCGGCATCGCCCGAATCCCTGGACCGGATACCATCTCATCTCGTGAACGAAGATCGCCTTCGACGCTCCCTCAGTGCCAGGCAGGTGCAAATGATAGCCATCGGAGGCACCATCGGAACTGGACTCTTTCTCGGGACTGGCAAAGCTCTCGCAACTGGCGGACCAGCTTCGCTACTCATCTGCTACTCGATCGTCGGCTTCATCGTCTTCTGCACTATGCTATCTCTTGGCGAAATGGCTGCCTTCGTCCCCGTCGCAGGCTCCTTCTGCACATTCGCCGGTCGTTACGTGGATGATGCGTTTGGTTTTGCCTTGACGTGGAATTACTGGTTCAACGATGCTGTCAGCACGGCGGCCGATCTTGTCGCGTTGCAGTTGCTGATACAATACTGGAGCGACAGCGTCCCATGGTATGCTGTTGGCATAGCCGTATGGGTGCTGATCGTGTTGGCGAACATCATCAACGTCAAGGCCTACGGCGAGCTGGAGTACTGGTTGAGTCTTTTGAAGGTGGTAACCATCGTCATCTTCATCATCCTGAGCATCGCAGTCAATGCTGGTGCCAATACCGACCATGGATACATTGGAGGCAAATTCTGGACCGCTGGAGATGCGCCGTTTGTCGGTGGCATTGGAGGCTTCGCATCCGTTTTCGTGACTGCATCGTTCGCCTACGGTGGAACCGAGTCCATCGCAATCACCGCCGGAGAGACGCGCGATCCAGCACGCGTGCTTCCAAAGGTCGTGAAGAACGTCTTTTGGCGCATCTTGCTCTTTTACATCCTCACAGCCATCATGATTGGATTCAACATACCGTACGATTATCCCGGTCTCTCGACGAAGTCATCGCGTACATCTCCTTTCACCATCGCATTCCAGATGGCCGGTTCGAAAGCGGCTGGATCGTTCGTCAACGCAGTGGTCCTCACCAGTGTCATATCTGCAGGCAACCATGCCCTCTACGCTGGCTCGCGCCTGTTGTACACGCTCGGAGCAAACGGACATGCGCCCAAAGTCTTCACGAAGCTGACGCGATACCAGGTTCCGTGGATCGCTGTGTTGACGACTAGCTTGGTGTCCATTGTCCTATTCTCCCTTTCTTTTGTCGGATCAGGCCAGCTGTGGACATGGCTACAGAACATTGTGGGCGTCTCAAACCAACTGAGCTGGATATGCATCGGCATCTCTTCGCTGCGTTTCCGCGCAGGTCTCAAAGCCCAAGGAAAAGAACACCTGCTACCCTTCCGAAACTGGATGTACCCTTGGGGCCCTTACATCTGCGTCTTCCTAAACATCTTCATTGTGCTAGTGCAGGGATGGTCGTCATTCAGCCCCAAGTTTGCCGCCGTGGATTTCGTTAGCTTCTACCTTGAACTTCCCATCTTCCTATTGATGATCGTCGGCTGGAAACTTCTGAAGAAGACCAAGTTTAGGAAAGCGAGCGAAACGGATCTTGAGACCGATGTCTATACGAAAGAAGACATGGAGCCGGTTGATAAGGGTTGGAAAGGGAGGAGCAAGAGAATTGGCACCTGGTTTTGCTTTTGAGGACCCACCTTGCGGCTCAGTACGAGCCTGGGGTCCTGGCCATGCTATACATATATACGAAGAAGCATGTCTTTCTGTACAAGTTCCTCAGGACACACCTAAGAGTTTTCCTTGTCTTTCAAGATCACGCGCTAAAAAGACGATTGCTGGCGAACGTACTTTGACTTCAAAAAGATGGATCGATGTGCGCCATCCGGTTGCAGCACCTTTACCATCAATGCGACGAACCGTTCCAACGAGGTTTCATGTGGCGTCGAAGGGTTCATGTATTGTATGCCTCGGCTGGCGCGTAGCTAGTAGGCCGACTGATGCATATTTTAGCATCCGCTGCGATTTGGGGCGGAAGGATGAGCTCGGAGACACAGACCGTGCCTGCATCAGCTCGGCGTTGAGATGACCAGATATTGCAAGGCATCGCTGCACAGTTTCACAGAGCGACGACCGCACTGCAGCCCTGTATCGACCGGCGAGTTTTGCCCGCACATTGAGATCCCTATCGCAGAGATTTGCGGAAGGCTGCATGCACAACCTAGGATTAGGAGGCTCCCAGCCCCGCCACGACGGAACGCCTGCTTGGCAGGCGCCAACCAAACCATGAATGGACTAAGTCGCACTTTATCCGCCTCTCAAACCCCCGGCCCAACGCTGCCCGTGCTCGAAGGCTACGCCCCGCATATCCCCTAAACCTCAATCGTGTTTCTGTGCCTCATGCACCCACTCACAGCCGTCGAACACGACCAGGATGTCGTGATAGTCGGGCGTATCTAAAATGACACGATGGTTGGGGTCCAAAAGACAAAACCCACTTTGCGACGAGGTCGCGGACCTTGAGAGTGTCTCTGTCGCTCTCCTTCCACCGACTTGAGCAGTGCATGCGCTGGGTGCTCTGGTGCTCTGTCCCATACGACACTTTTTACACATCGCCATGTTTTCTTTCCTCTTGCGAATGGTCTCTATCAATGTCGCTGCTGCGGCACTGATACATGCCCCAATGCCTGCACCCACAGCTCCTGCAATGCTCCCAAGGCAAGGCCCTGCAAATGGCATCGTGGTTATGGGATACGAGCTCATCGGCACGCAAGACGATAAGCCGGTCTGTAAGTACACTGGCATGCGAGCTCGAGCTCGAGGTGCGCTTATCTGACCTGGCAATAGGGTCGATCAAGACATTTCCTCAGTCCGACGGCTACCTTTTTACAACAGGCAGCCTGTATCAGTCGTGCAAAGCGTCATCCGCTTTCGAGGTTGATGGAACCACCACGACCTCCCCCTTACCGAAGACAGGTTGTGAGGCATGGACAAGCTGCTCACATACGACGGTGTATGGGTCTGGAGGTGTAACTAGTACCTGGTAAGTTCAGCTGCATGTCTCGCGTAGACTCGGCCACGTTAACCAGCTGGACAGCGACGGAGACTATGGGCTTTGCTACTCGGACATCATGTTCACCACTTTTGGCGCTTCCGACGCGTACACGCGTATCTACTGCGATTGGACAGGCAGCCATCCGTTGATGTCGACGACACTTTACCAAGCGCTTCCGGCCAATGGTACGTGACATTGCGCAAACGCTATATTTGACTTATTATTGACGTGTTGTAGTGGACTCAACGTCAGTCGCGTCCCAACAGGCAGCGTCCAGTACACCTGCATCGAATAGCAATCCGTCAATCTCGGCACCTACCCCATCCTCAACGTCGAACTCGGCCGGCGAGCAGAATCAACCTCCTGCTGGAATCAGTGGTTCAATCAATACATCCATAATCGCGGGTGCCGTCGTCGGAGGGCTTGCGGTTATCGCATTCGCCGGTGTCGCTATCTTCTACATCCTCAAGCGCTCCAAGCGCCACTCCGCGGGGACTGCTGTCCCGTCGAGCGACGGTGATTCTATGAATCCGTATGGCACGCCAGAAATGACTAGAGACGGATACCCTGATGCGGAGGCGTATGCGCATACGGCGACAAAACACGGACACACCATAAATGGAGGCGAACTCGATGGGCAGCATGGCACCGCAGAATTGGGTGGCGTCCCGCTTCACGAAGCAGAGGACCGGCGATGAGAAAGGAAGGCGGGAAGGAGCGCAGAGTAGGCCATGAAAGTGGCCAAGAGGGCAGCGGTGTAGTATTGTATGCAAATGCCTCGGCAGTGATGCGTCGTCTGGTCGGCTTACGTACCGCTGCTAGTTCGCGACTCAAGAGCATTCGAGTGAGACAATCAGCCAATGTCTCAAGACGAAGTCGCCCCGTGGAAATGAATGGCAGCGCACCTACCGGTCGCACGAAGCATGCACTCCTTACTTTGAGTCTATGTTCGACAGTCAGCAAGGCAGCATCTGCGCACTGCGACTAATACTGGCCCTACTGACCCCGAGTCAGCGCCCCGAAGTGGCAGTGCTGCTGCGCTCATTCTCGATTTGGTCCCCGCAAATCAAAGCGGTGCTGACATGATCCGGCAATTTAGCCGCTCCATAGGCCAGCCTGCTCACCACATCAACACCGACAAATGTAGATGCTGCGCATACAGCTGACATGAATCAGATTCTGTCCAGTTGCTGTGGTTCTTTTCGTACATGCGCTACACGATAGGGGGCTGTAGTCCTTCATTTCCTGCAATGGTATCCATCGACGTATATCTCACAGTATGATAGGGTACAGCCACGGACGTACGTCTCTACCGAGGTTTGACCGAACGCAGGTCTTTGAGACTGTGGGTAGTCGGTGACACTAGCACTCAATACGAAGTGATTCTAGGGACTTCATTTCTTCGAGACTGTTGACTCTGTCTCTCTTGCTTCGACTTTGCTTTCTCTTCTTCATCGCGAGCGCCTGCTTCCACCTACTTCAACATTCACTGCCAAGAGATCAGGATGCCTTGCTCCAGCCTGTCTCATCGCATACTCTTCATAAGCTCCATCCTACTCTTGGTCGCATCCATCGGCACCCTCGGTCTGACTGGTCATGCGAAATGGCTTTTGGTTCAATACTTCCCCGCTGACGCTTGGTACATCTGGAGAGGAACAGATGGGACGTATGACGAGCAGCAGACGACCCAGCAGTGGATCGCTGTTGACTACAACGAAACATATGACAGACTTGCCGTTGCGAGAGCGGTGTTAGCCATCGTCGCAAGTGTATTGAGTATCTGGATCATGCGAGCGAAACCCAGAGCTATAATGGAAGAAGATACACAGGTACTATTCTTCGTGATGGCTGTATTTTGATCAGTGCTTACAACGCATCCAGAACTCGCAATATCCCTTTCGAGGCAATATCGTGTACATCACAACTGTGGTACTCGCAGTCGTATCCTTCGCCAGCACACTTGCATCCGCGATATGGTCCACCATCTTGCATTACCAGTCATCGAAGCGTTGTCAAATACCGACAGTGCTGACCAAATACAACGACGAATTCACATGCACGCGTGAGCTAGCGACCTGCGTTATGCTGCCCGTCATACGGACAACGGATGATGCGGCAAGGAGGCTGGCGTGTGTTGAGACTGTAAGACTAAATCAAGAAAATAAATTGGAAGGCCGGATGCTGACTGTCGTGATGTATAGAAAACTGTTCGGTGGCTGCTAGTCCCCATGCTCGTATTGGGGTTGGCATTAGTCGTCGGATATGCTGTGCAGATCTGGTATCTTAGGAGACGAGCCGTTCTCGAGCGGAGAGCAGAAGATAAGACTGCTGTGCTGGAGAAGGCAGACTAGCTAGCCAAGGTGTGATGCTATCAGCTGGCTCAAGACATTGCTATGCAACGTTTCCAGCAAACATCTTGCTTCGTATAAACTACATCGTGGATCCCAAGCAGAATCATCTTCAGTATGGATCTCACTCAACTTCCCACTGAGGTCTTCGAGATGAGCCTTGCGATGTTGCCCATCAAGGATCTGCTGCGCTGCGAGCGCGTCTCAAAGGCTTGGTGTGACTTGATCAGGGACGGACAAAACACCTCAAAGACTTTATTCCGATACAGCAAGTCTGCAAAAAAGCAAAAGAGTCCAAGCAAAAGAAAGCGCTTCATAGAGAGGACGTGGAACACACATCGTGCTAACCATCCCACCAAGACGGAAGCACTCGCGAACTGCATCGTGCATCCTCAACTGAGTCACTTCGGGCGACCAAGATTTTGCTCCATCGCCGCTTTCGACAGCCCAGATATCGGATTTGTCGATCGCTGGAGCCTTCTTGATACTGTGAACAGCCGAAACGGATGGCCCAATCCGACTGCATCATGGCGAACCATGTTCATGACCTGGCCTCCGCTCACGGAGATCGAGTTTCACGTCAGCTACAGACTACACGACGGCCGACCGTACCAGCGAGATAGTAAAATCAACAAGATTTATGAACCTGAAGGTATTACGTTGAATCATTTCTTCTACGCGCTTTCAAGTTCTGCAAAGCGAAAGCCATGCCCCCCTAGTAAGTCGATGATGGCATGGACTCGCGAGTGGCCAAAGTACTGGGTTACGACCATGTACAGAGGTGTGAGATTTCACATTATTCCTGCTATTGGTATGGAAGATGACGAGCTGGATAGCACTGGAGAAGAGGCATGATTGCTGTGGACGATGGATGTATTGAGGACTTATCAACTGCCATTCTGTAGGTACAATCATAACGTGTGAATAGTCTGCATTACAATTATTGCGTGAGATAAGATCTACGACTCGATCATGCCATCTGCCCCCTAACTGCACCAGGTAGCGCCAAGCTCGAATGGGTGTCCGCCATGAAAGCCGCCGGGTTGGCTTCGATCATGCTAACATGGAAGCCCTCGCCCGAATCCTTTCCTTCAACCATAACACCAGTCGTGAATGGGCCCTTGATGCATCCTGCGCCGTTTCTAACCGTCTCGCTTCCCTCTACCAGCTCCGGGTTTGGGAACGAGATCCTGGGTGGTCCACTAGCACCGCGCGCGGCCTCGTGGATGTGCGTTGCCGTAGTCGCGGGGGAGTCGAATTCGCCTTGGAAGTTGTGCAGCGTAATGTTGTAGCAGATCATGTTGGAAGCGCTGTTGATGCCGAAGTTGAAGGTGCCGGATGCGCCGGCGAGACCACCGGTTGGTTCGGTGCCGTTGACGACCTCCTCCGGGACGGCATGAACGAAGTGCGTTGAGGAGAAAGCGAACAGTTGCTGAGCATCGATAGCGTTGGCTGCGACAGCGTCTTTACCGGTCAGGTCGATGTTGATCTGTAGCTGCATGTGACCATTGCCGATGTCGAGAGGTGATGCTGCGACTGGAGCGGCGGTTGCGCCAAGCGCCAGGCTCGCAATGGTGACGAATACGGCGGTATACATTATGGTGTAATGAGTTGCAAGAAACGTGTATCGTAAAAAAAAGTGTGCGGTAAATGTCTTGTCAAAAGAACGTGTGGAAGAGAAGCGAAAGAAGCGAAAGTATGAATGAGTGTGTTTGAGAAAGGACTGGTCAACAGCGAATTATTCCTACCGAGCCTCACATAGCGCCCCTTCCATCTGGTTATATACTCGCCACATGTGGTGATACAGCGTACGTGGATGCCTTAGCACCAAGGCTTGTCCAGAAATTTGAGGCACCTGTGTAACGCGTGCTGAGTTTCGCGCACCTTGGCCAACACCAACAGCCGACTCGGCGCCTTGGAAGCATCAGGCCTCAACGCATGCTGTAAACATTCAGCTCGAACGAATGATCGGGTTGCGAAGTGCACATCCCGAATTAGCATGAGCATGGGTGCAAAAGTTGATGAGCCCAAGGTACGCATCGCTAATTTGTCGCGGGTTTTCGTTCGCCAAGTGCGCAAAACATACGATGCTGATGTCTTGGACAAAAGCGGATTGCAGCCGGCCGAGATTTGATGTCTATTCTCGTGCTAATCTTCTCGCGATTCGCTACTTGTGAGCTACCTACTGTTGCTCGGAATCCATGCCGTCCGGAAGGAAGGGCACGCGTGAAAGGCCGTTCGAGTAGGATATCATCTGCACGACTTCGTGAACAGCATGCCAACAATGGGTCGGCTATCGCAACGCTAACAATTGGAGCAAGACGTCTGGGATGCTGTTTGTTGTCAAGCTATTCACGCTCTTTCAAGGGCTGCCCAGATGAGATTGGTTCTTCGAGACACGGGCGCGTGCTGTCGAAGACGAGAGGATTAAAGGACACGGCGACGCTGCAGCAGCCTGGAGCCAGGTAGGGGTCTAGGGCTCATTGAAGGACTTTATTACATACATTTCGAGGATGGTGGTCTGACTGTGCGTACTGATGATGATTGAAGCGCGTATACGGACTGGAAGCAGTCATGACGTCATATCTAGGTAGCTTCCGAGATTGGCCCGAGCCACTGAGGAGGAGACCTCTGATCGTCTCATCACCTGGGCACATTTCAATGCTCGCGCATCGCGAATACACGCCCTCAGCATCTGAGCATCATTCCAAGACAGAGGCTCCGGCTTCTTCGATGGTATGTGTTCCCGACGCGATTGTACGCCCGCGAAGGGGTTTGGTGCAATGACCGCCGGTTTCAGCCACTACCCGACTCCAGTTTCATGATTCTCTTGGATCTGGACTTCTCTGCTCTTCGACACATTCAGTTCATGATTTCTGCCCTCCACAATGCTTCACTACATTGTTTAGCGATAGTCTCTCATAGAGAGATATCACAAATACAAGAGACGGAAGGGATGTGAGACTTCTCGGCGCAGAGGTCAAGATCGAAGGGAACTGTGCTTTGCGCTTCATCAAGTCTTGATGGTATTCATTACGTATGTATTTATACACTATAAGAAGTGAAGCAGGTCTTGGTATCATAAAGCAATCATCCTCTCGCCCCCAACTAAATTCCAGCACCAGCACCCGGGAACTTGGCAAGCAAAGACTTGTCGTACTTGGCAAGATCAGGGCAGCCAAGCTTCGCAAGGATGGGGTTCAGCGCATCAGTCAACTTCTGCACAGCAAGCAGAACATTACCGAGGAGACCCTTCAAGATATCCGGGCTGGCGGAGTTGACAGCCTGGAATGCGAAGCACATGAGGTTGTTGTCTTCGAGCAGGGTCTCGGCATTGAAGACACCACCAGTGAGATCGGCGATGTTGACACCGGTGAAGGTGTTGGGCTCGCCTGTGTTGCCACCTACGACGGCCATGTAGGGAAGTGCTTGGAGTGCGCCTACGGCGTCGAGTGTGAAGGCTGCGATTCCGTAGTCATCACCGATAGCGCGGCGGTACCACTGAGGTAGGTGTTAGTATATTTCGACCGCTGATGATGCATACAGAGCAAACTTACGTTCTCAGGAATCTTCTCCTGGCCACGAGCCCACTTGAAGCTGCCTTTCTGTCCTGTGACGCCTTCGAACGACTTCAGGGTTTCTCCGTCGAGATAACCTGATGGGTACTCTGCGGAGTGGTTCGAGAAGAAGTGGAAGGTGAACAGGTAGGTCGCAGTGTTGATGGCGTAGTGGGTCAGAGGCCCAGCCCAGTAGTGTCCGTTGGTGGCGACGGAGTTGTTGTATCTAGAGCCACGGAAAGGATGCATGACAGTGAGGTCGTAGCCGTTCGGACCGATAGGCATGGCCATTAATTCCTCAAACTGAGGGAGGTTGAGGGATACTGGGTTGCCGTTCTTGTACAGGTCCTCTCGTGTGGGAGAGCAATCAGCCTCGAAACGGTTGTGTGTCCCGCTCATACCCTGCGGCTTTCCGACGAGACCAAGTCCCGTGGTGAGTCCACCAAGCAGACCCCCGCTGGGCGGGCCACCGATGGAAGACGAGACAATGTCGCCGCCCATGACGGTAGCAAGGACTGACAGGAAAGCGGAGAGCTCAAGACCCATACCGAAAACTACGGCGCTGTGAGCGATTTGGCTGACGATCCAATGGCAACATGCGTACCTTCGTTCGATGCAGTTGTCAATTGCGTGACGGAGGCGATTCCATTGCGGGGGAGATAGCCATGGTTCGCCATGACGTTCAGACCTGGGCATGGTCCGCGAAGGTCGTTCTTGCCAGGTGCAATCTGTAGGTGGACGTGTTAGAAATTGATGCAAGAACAAGTCTTCCATCCCAAAAGTCCACCTACATAACGGTGTTCACCCGTGGTGCTGATACGTTGAGCATCCGCATCGAAGCCCGGTGGTAAGATGCTAGCACCAAGTTGTCGCTTGGCCAAATTGGCCGGCATCTTCTCGACCGCTCTGGTGATTTTTGCCGCCAGCTCTGTGATCTCTGCGAGCCCCTCATCGCTGAGATCAGCAGGGAGGTTGTTGAGGAGGTTGGCGGGGAAGGCAAGTACTGCCGATGTAAGGAGCGTAGCGCATAGAATGGATGCCTTCATGCTTGCGACTGAAACTATACAAAGACTAAGGAGCGTATGTATCGGTGACGGGTGAAAAGCAATTTGGCAGTTGAAGGTCTATTATATGCGAACAGTCTGAGGTGTTCACAGCGAATGACATGAACGCCACCAATCAACCATGGCGAATTTCGTAGCGGAAGTTTAATTCAGGAGTGGTGTGCCTGATCATCGTGCTGAGATCATGTACGTCGCTGATGAAATGGCAAACCTTCTGCGCGAGCGTAGAACAATGACTCTGTTCTACAAATGAACGACCGACAGAAGGGCCGAAGTTAGGAAAAGAGAGTGGTGGTGCAGCCTTGAACATGCGCCTGACGTGCTAGAGACATCGACTAAGATATCGACTAGCATCGGTCGGCTTATCACGTCATTTTCGATTGGTCGGTAAAGCATTCCGATGTTGTCGGTCGCAAGGGCGACAAGGCCCCTGATGCGCGCATAGTGCGATCTGGGATCCGGGGACGCTAGGCGTTGTCATGGTGGTGGGCGTGCAGTGGCGCTACCTGGGAACCTGCCGCAGCGTGGAGGCGGGCCTGTAGATCAGATGCCGCTAGCCGGAAGGGAGCGGAGCCAGGAACCGGGCAAAGGCGAATGAGAAGGCTCCGACGAGACTCGGTCTTCAGGGTCCTCTTGCCTCTCATTACTCATGTTCTGAATGCTCGAAAGAAAGTAATGCGATGGCTAGGATAATTAACAAGACTCGTCAGTAGTCATAGAGAACGGACTCGGGGTGATGCCGATTCGCGGCCGAGAATTGGTGAGCAAACATCTTCGTTATGGCATTATTCGTGATTATCAATTACCCGTAAGCTCCATCACAACCTCCGTATGTCTTCTATGTGCGTCTGAATATGGTCTGCCAAGGGCCAATCGTCACCGTGTAGGTGCGCCCGTGACATGGACTCTGGCAATGACTCGGGTGTTGCAGCCGAAACCCTTCCAGTCTTCTCGTCAACAATGAGATCGTCCAACTCAATGTAACCCTCCTTGGGGCCACGCTCCAGGTCGTCGTCTTTGAATAATGAATCTGTGCTCGTGTTCTCTAGTGTACGTGATGTGTTCTTGTTCAATCGTCGTGCACTTTGATTCGCAAGTGTGCTTGCGTTGTTGGAAGGGTTGGAAGGAGTGCTTCCAGTTCCAGTAGATTTCGATTTGTTGCTTCGGTTGGTTGAGTTGTGGTAATGTGAGATGGCCGTATTGACCGCTTGCTTGAAGAAGACACGGAGTACCGGGATGGACGTGGCAACGACTGTCATGGCAGTGTCTGCTGTTGACCAAATGACGGAGTTATACGCTTGGTCTGCTTTGGTTAGCTCGTTTCAGATAGAGAGCTTCAATAGCTTACAGGAAAGATCCTGGGTCTGGAGCTGTTCGACGTATCTGGCTCGGAGAATAGAGGTGACTCCCGCCAAGATACCCAGACTCATGGCAACACCAACTCCGATCTTCTCCGCGGTGCGCATCTGTAGATTCCAGAGGACCTTCCAAGGCAACAATGCTAGAGAAATATCCATGATGGCAGCCCATATAGCCTGGAATCTTCCGTATATTACGGAAGGCTCCTTGTCGATACATGTCCCGGGAAGGATATCAACAAAGGTCTTCGTTATTGGCTTGCACAGTACCCAGGGGAGGACAGCAACTGGTATCGCGAATAAGGCAAGGGTAGCGATAGCGAACCAAACGTAGGCCTTAAGCCATCCGTCAGTCAACCGAAGCAAAGTGAGCCCGAACGAGATCTTGCTAAGAATGATGCCCGTGATTGAAAAGGTGAGCGCGGATGCGCCATAGTACGTGATACGTTCGAAGTGGCTGAAGTCAACTAGCGAGAAGGTCAGAGATATGTTAATTGAAGTCTTCTCTGCGAAGTCTTACTGTCGAGCGCATGCTTTCCAAAACCGAGGTTGATGCTGAGTTGGTTCAAGATGAGTTGACCAAGGAGCATAAACTGTGGTGCATCAGCCATCCGTGATTCACTTCGATCTTTCGACTTACTTACCCAGCTGATAATGAGTACAATGTCGTCAAACCAGAACTTCTTTTGGGAACGACGGATCCAACAGCGAACAACCAGGAAGGCGAAAGAGACTCCACCGAGTGACCATGTCGAGACGGCCATCAACATCGAGTGCGACTCACTCGGGTCGCTGCGCCAGTTATCAAATTGGGTAGACATCTTGATCGCGCTCACGGGGGACCGAGGAGTCGGATACGATGGGAACGTCCTGTCGGTATAGGTATATTAATGTCCCACGGAGTTCCATCCAAAAAGGGCTGCGTTCCTCCGGGATGAGGGTGCAATCTATAGGTAAGGATGCTCCGCGGATGTCGAAATGTAAGGCACAAACTATACGATAGGCTAGTGCCTGAGACTCTTCCGCATGCCAGGGTGCGGCGAAGATCTCGCCGAGCTCGATCGCAGAAGCTACCGCGATATCGTGTTTGTCAGGTATGCAATTCAGTGGAAGTTTTATGCTTATTTGCCCAAGACCATCTCAAAGATGTGGGTATTCGCTGGTCAAACCTCGTCTCGGTGCGAACGTTTCTGGTACGTGCTTTGGGCTTGTCTGACTCGGGCCTGAAGCAAGAGCCGGTAAGCATCAGGTCGGCGTGCATCCTCGTCATTTTCCAGATATGTGGCCAATCGCGGTTTTTGCACTTCGCATTGGCTTGGGTGAACGACGGCGGAGATCCCCTCCACTTCGCCGCTTGGTGCGCGCGCTAACAACGGGCCCGTCTGTCCCGGCAGCCATACCATCGCGGTTTTCAGGTCATGAGCGGGACTTGTGTAGATTGATGCCAGGGTGCATTCGATTGTAGTCGCAAATCTTGTTCTCAAGCAAGAGTGGGTCGGCTTCCACTGTCGCACTAGGGCCAGCGCGCGGATAGACTAATGCTCGGTCATCACCCTTTATTCTGATAAAGTTCGATGAATGCCGAGTGCGCAATCGACAGCCGCGGTTTTGGACGATCTGGAACATGCCGCGCTCGGACTTATCTTGGGGCTGCTGATAAACCTATGACCACGAAGGCAACGGGAGGAGGTTGGACCCAGCAACATCGCACCTAGTCTGATGAGTATGCGCTGGGCAAACGTTGGCAGGGGTTGCGGTAGGCAAGTCAAATACCCCCAATGCAGCAACGTAGCGATATCGCAGCCACTGCAAACGTAGTCGCATGGCAGCAACATGCTGTGGCAACATTGCGCAACGAAGTTGCGGCCAACTGCTCATAAAGATGTTCATTCATAGGGTGACTGTTTCCGCCCACATGAGATAGTGTTTGTGGTTTAGTGAGTGAGGTGCCAACGGCAGATCAGCCACTTCGACGTACCTAGTAGGCTGCGCGTGTGTCTGCGCCTCTTTCACAAATGGCAGCAATGTGCCTGTCGTCACGATGGTTGCTACCCAAGACCCCGCATTCATCGTTAGCAACGAGCCAATCGATACAAGAGTGTGACGCATCGTGATCTGGACTGGTGATGTTGGTTTTGGTGTAGGTTCAAAGACGAGGCGAACAGCCTTGCACAGCTAACTGTCGCTTGCCTTACCGCAAGTGGACTTACTACTGGACAAGTCGACCGAGCACCTCTGGTTCGTCGCTCCTAGTCGTTACAAACACAGCCGACGAATTGGATGTCGCTCTGAAGCGGATGTCCTGGTGTTGGATAGCTTACACTACAAGTTGATATTGTAATGGTTCATTTTCACGATGCAGGATGTGATAACACCCTAACGGCATCTTGTAGTGCATCAGCAGCGCTTTGCAGCCTTCGTAAACTCTGTTAACAGCGCTGTGTTTTCGGTCCACACAGCCGCAGTTGGCTTGGATGAACATCCGTACGAGTCACCTGTGTGCTGAGAAACAGCTGTTCGTGACCAGGTCGTCGCGGCTGCAAGGCGGAGTGGCGCGCTTGAATTACCCGCCGGGCGTAGGCACGAGAGTTCAGGATGCTTGCATGCGCACGATGCGCTGACCGCGTTCGTCGATTGCTCATAGATGGCGGCATATTTCTCCATGTCTAAGTTTCGGGATCTAAACTTCTCTCTGTGGGTCAGCCAGCAACTAGGCAGCTGGAATCGGAGACAAGGTTTGCGGAGCAGATCGGCCAGCCTAGCTCGTTCGGGTTCGCACTCGCCATGGACTAAATCAACACCATCCCCCCTCCCAAATTCACTCTACGTCAACTTCATGTTTTGTGTAGTGTAGGGCATCTGCGCTAGGGCCCAAACTTATGCGTTGGAGCCCACCATCCAGGATACCAGAGAGCCGGCACTTCCAGAGGACTTCGATCGAGGCATTTACCTCGGAGTTTTGGCCTTCGCAGCGATGACCTGCACGCATGCATAAGGTTCGACATCTTATCTCGTAGATCGAGCTCGAAAGAGGAAGACATGTGAGGAGCTCCGATGCTCACGTTGAGTGACGCGCATGCCTGATGGGCCCAACCAGATAGTCTTCAGGATGTAGCACATGGACAGGCGACGCGTTTTGACCATCAGGGGCGATGAAGTGTTGTCCTGTAAACAATGTTGAGGCTTGGAGGGAGTCGGCTCGATCAGTTGGGATTAGTGGGGAAGGTGTGGCCAGTAGGTGATCACTGTCTGGCTATTGAGGGAGCTGGGACAAGCAAATGCCGTCGAGGTGCATTGCTCAATGTATGCGTTTCATCAAAGAAGAGCATGCGTCGAGCGCCGGGCGCGAAGTTGAGAATTCGATAGAATTGATGAGAGACGCGTCTTTCTCGGAAGATGATTCCGAAGATGCGCACGTGCCGTATCACGTGCTATCTCCGCATCTTGGCAGGTGCTTGACGGGGAAGAGGGACCCGACAGCCAACGTCATAACCCGCTGCAACGGCTTTATCGACGAAGGATTCATTAACGATGTAACCTTAGAGCTCAATCAGGGTGTACAACCGACAAGGCCCGCTTGGGGAGCGATGCGCGCATGCGGGGTACCTTGGAAAGCGGTGCACCAACGGCTGGGACGCATAAGAGGTAAAAGAAAGTACAACTCGTCCAGCTACATCGACTGTCCTCAAAATGTTGGGAACCGGGTTATTGTCTCTGCTGGTACTTGCGCCATGCGCACTTTCACAAGATGTCGACTATTCGCAATTCGTGAATCCATTCATCGGGACTGAAGGCGCGATACCTGGCTACGCATGCAAGATGCCCAGAAATCTACATCACCCTCACTTCTAACAGATACTAGACGGCGGCGGTGATGTATTCGTGGGCGGCGCAGTACCATTTGGCATGGTTAAACTAGGCATCGACACCTATGAAGAACCCATCAACCAGAGTGCACTCAACGGCGGATATACACCTCAAGGCCATGTGACTGGCATCAGCTTGATGCACCAGTCAGGAACCGGCGGAGGCTCGAAATATGGATACCCTTCCCAGATGCCGCTGACGAGCATTGATGGGGATGTCAATTTGCTGGACAACCGAACTTACTGGCAGGATCGAGTAGGGTCATCAAGCGTGATGGACAGGCAGCTTCTGACAAGCATCTAGGTTGGCGAAGACGTTGCGCAAGTTGGCTACTTCCGTACCGAGCTCGAATCTGGTGTCAAGATCGAACTCGCGGCCTCTCGACACGCGGGATTATACCATTACACATATTCGTCTTCGTCCGAGAAGCACGTTCTGGTTGACCTGTCGCACTACCTACCCCATCTGACACGTTCGTGGGACTCGCAGTTCTACACAGGTGGCGAGATTGAGATTCAACCGAACAACAGCACATACACGGGATATACATCTATAGCTGGTGGGTGGAACATTGGCGGTGAGTACTGTACGAAGTGCATGTGAGACATGTACTGATTTCGTACCTCTCCCTCTGCAGCACCAGTCATCGTGTACGTATGCGGCGAGTTCGATAGTCTACCTGACGAGGCACGTGCTTTCAAGGGGAAGAACACATTCCCTGTCGGTCGACACTTCCGGTCATTCAATAATGGCACAACACCCCGGCCTACGTATACTGGATCAACAGCCCGGTCAGGGCCGATGAACGACCGCGTTGGAGCAGTATTCAGTTGGACTAATGCCACCGAGATCAAATCGCGAGTAGGCATCTCCTTCATGTCTGTTGACAAGGCATGTTCGTATAAGAACGCCGAGCTCTCTTCGTGGTCAATCGAGGATACCGCGCAAGCGACGCGTGACGAATGGAACCGCGATGTCTTTTCCAAGATTCGCGTTGACACTTCGGAGTCGGCAAACAAGACCAGGCTGGCGTTGCTATACTCCAGTTTGTATTTCATGCACCTAATACCCAGCGAGCGTGTAGGCGAGAACCCGCTATGGGAATCGGAGGAGCCATATTGGGATGGTGAGTCCTGGCTGTACGAAATGCATGTGAGACATATACTGACTTAGTGTAAAAGACTTTTACACTATGTGGGATTTGTTCCGAAACCAGGTCTCGCTCTGGCACCTCATCCAGCCAAGCTACTATGAGTCTATGATCCGCTCTCTGATCGACATGTTCAAGCAAGAAGGCTACCTTCCAGATGGTCGATCTGGCAATTACAACGGTCTGGTCCAGGGAGGGTCCAACGCCGATAACGTCCTGGCAGATGCCTACGTCAAAGGCTTGACGGGTATGATCAACTGGACGGAAGGCTATGCAGCAGTCAAGAAAGATGCCGATGTTTTGCCATTCTTCGACGAGAACCCAGTCGATCCGTATGGTTCGCTGAAGGAAGGTCGTGGCGCTTTGAAAGACTGGATAGAACTTGGCTACGTCTCGGCTGATCGCAGCACGCGTGCAGTCTCAAAGACAGTAGAGTACTCACTCAATGATTTTGCTGTCAGCCAGATCGCAGCTGGTGAGGCGCCTGGCGATCGTGACCTCTACCTTCGTCGGTCCGCAGGTTGGCAGATGAGTTGGGATCCCGAGTCTGCGAGTCGGAACTTTTCCGGTTTCGTTATGCCGCGATACGCGAACGGCACTTTCCACAAGACCTACGACATTACTGACTGCAGCGATTGTAACTGGGAAGATGAGAGCTACGAAGGCACTGCTTTTGGTGAGTCGCTGCCTGCCTGCATGCTATCATCTTCTACTTGTACACTAACAAGAGGTTAGAGTATTCCTTCGTTGTTCCCCACGACATCTCGCGCGTAATCACGCTAATGGGAGGCCCTTCGCACTTTGAGAACCGTCTCGACTACGTCTTCCAACCAAACACGTCCGGCGTCGACCTCGGCGTGAACGGACTTGGTATCACGACCATCAACAACGTCGCAAACGAACCCGACTTCGAAACACCCTACCTCTACAACTACCTCAACAAGCAGTGGAAGAGCGTCGAGCGAAGCCGACAGCTTGCCAATGACTTCTACTTCAATACAACAAACGGTATACCCGGAAACAGCGATGCAGGAGCCCTGAATTGCTGGCTCATTTGGCAGATGCTGGGATTATATCCTATAGTCACTACGCCTGTATATCTCCTGGAAAGTCCTTGGTTCTCCGATATCAACATTACTGTCAATCATGACAAGACGCTGAGGATCAGGGCTGAGGGATTGGACGATGGAGACGGAAAGCAGGGGTACTACGTCCAGGGCGTGAGCATCAACGGAGAGGAGTGGGGGAAGAACTGGTTCGAGCATGAAGACGCCGGTGGTATCATGACTGAGGGAGGCGAGATTGTCTTCAGGCTTGGAGAGCAACAGACTGTGTGGGAGTCAGGCGATGTGCCGCCTAGTCCTGGACATCAGGTTGTTGATGTTGGTGAGAGCGCACAGTTCTCCAACTGATGCAGCATCGCACTGCGCCAATGTTGCGCCCCAAGAACATAGATAGTGATAGTCAGTCGCGAAGTACAGAAGCGACTCGCATCAATACATGTTCGTGACATCAACCTCTCTCAAACATCAAACTCCCCGCCAAGACACCCGACACACCTGACACACTCCGCCCACCCTCCGATCACGTGAACCACTCTGAAACGCCTCCTGCGACAGCAGTCCTCGACCCATCCGCCACGGCATTGACCCCGCTGATAGGCCAGAACACACCTCCCAGAGGACGCGTCACCAGCAACTCGCTCAATAGTACAAGTCAAGTACAAGTCCCTCAACAGCATGAATCATGCACTCTATATCCGCATCCATTATAGGTACCTCGCCTCCGACACCCGGTGCCTGGATACGCAGGCGACAAGGCGATCACACAGCGACAGCCTCAGCGCCACGGAGAGCATGACACGATGCACTGGAAGTGTACTGCGGGGTCGCACATCGCGGGTGCCTGAGGAAAAGGCATAAGAAGGCTGTGTCGCCCATCGTGTTGAGAGAATCATCAAGCAACATCTCTTCGCACTACAAACAACCCACTTCTATTCCATTCTTTCTTTGCGTCTGTGACTGCAAAAGCTGACCTGGTGTCATTCGTTCAAACGTACTATACATAATCTACCGACGAGTTTATTTCGATACTCATAACCAGCAATATGCGTTTCTCCATCGCTACTCTTATCACCTGTAAGTCATCCCATTTTCCACCTGCCATGCACAGGTACTCAAAGACATGGTATACTAACATATCTCCCCAGTGGCCGCCGTCTCCATGGCGCAAGTCACACCCAACAACGCAGGCGCCAAGAACGTCGGCGCAGGCGACGGTTCGCAGTTCATCACCGGCGGATGCGTTTCAGATGCCGATTGCAGTTCCGCATGCTGCAGTCAGGTCGCTGCGACCGGCGACGGTGTTTGCTCTGCCGAGGCGGCTAGCCAGCAGAACGGAAAGACGGGTTGTGGATTCACGGACCCGAATGCGGATGCGGTGATTGCGGCGGCGCAGGACCAGGTTGCGCAGCAGGGGTTTAAGAGGGTTGTTCGTAGCGAGTAGGGGCGTTGCTTTGACGGAGGTGGTGGTGTTGCGTCAATGATAAGATGGTTTGACGGTGGCTGTGTTGTGCTCTGGCTGTGATGTCTCTTCTCGTGATGTGCATCAAGTTCAACTAGTTCATGCGCATTTTAGAATCCGCTCCGCGTCGAAGACGTGATTCGACGTGGAGCGGATTCTAAAATGCGCATGAACCAATTGAAGTGTGATCATGTCCTCAGTGAGCATATCCACTTCCCGCCCCAAAAGCCGCCCACAGCCGAGCCACCCAAAGCGCCAATATCAACTCCCGGCATGTCTGGTCTAGATCATGCCTCAGTTCAATCGTCGGCATCTTGCCTCCAGGCCCCATCTTCAACACCTCTGTCGCAACGACATGACCTTCGCTGTCTTTCCACTGACTAGGTTCCAGCTCGTTCTTCCTCTGCTTAAGCGCCTTTGTGAACCCCCCTGGCTTCCCACAAGTCATGATCTCGTTCGGTCGACTGCCCTGCGTGGGCATATGCACGACATGCCATCGGCGCAGTCCGAAGCGCAGTTGTAAAGCGCCGGGTAGTGTGCTCCCTGCTTTACCTTGGATGTAGTACTCGTTGATGAGGAAGGGTGGGTCGTGGGCTTCGTATAGCACGCTGCTGCTGTCGAAGGCGACGGTCGGTGCGCCGGATTGGAGGAACGTGATCTCTTCGGCTTTTAGTCTCCGTATCCGAAGCTTATTGATTCGCGCATCGAGGAGGGAGGATAGCTGGTAGGCGGGCGCGTTGGGTGTGTGGATGAAGGTGCCGTAGATGGTGAAGGTCGTGGCCTTCTCGTCGACGGTGGCGTATGCGGGAGGTAACTCGGGTGGAGGCGATGCTGGTATGATTGTGGGTGTTGGCTCTGGGTCGACAGCAGGTTGTTCGGCAGCGGCGGGCTCGGGGGGAGGTTGTGGTACTGTGGTGGGCGGAGGCGCGACGACGGCTTCTTCGTATGAGGGTATCGGCGCGTTGATGTTTGGGCGAGACATGGCTGCGATAACCAGAAAACGCACGCAAGCAGTTGCTCAGTCGGGCTGGCAGTACTCACAGTAGTGCACAAGATGGAATTTCAGAGGCTGTGTTCCGCCAAGCATGCTGTCGTATTGATTGATTGATGATGTGAACACGGCAAGCCCGGCGTGACGTACTTCATCCACAACCTCGGCTTCTTCCGCCTGCCAAGACCCCACACCTGCAGTCTCTCCCCACGTCATACCACGAGTCCCACGGCAGTCGCGTGTGGAACCTAGACGCATCCGAGCCAGACTACAAGAAATGCAGCACTCCGCCATCATGTTGGCGGCTCTTTGCATCTGTGCATCTTTGTCCAACAAGCCAAGTCGATCATGCGAATCTCGTGGCCCTTCTCCTGCAACTCAAGCAAGAGTGGTTTTGCTAGATCGAGGAACTCAGCGCCGCGCTTACTATCAGCAGGAAAAATCGATAGAGAGACAGTTACGCCGAGACTGGCTGAGTTCAAGATCTTTCTTAAATCTCCAATAGTCTCCTCCATATCTGACTCAATCCTCCAACTATTGTCAAAACGCATGACGAAGGTGATACGGCCGGCGATGTTTTTGGGCAGTACACTTGCATCGATGTTCGACCACCACGGAAGCTTTGCGATAATATGGTGGATAGACAACGGCTGTGTGTATATGTACTTCTGAATGATGAACGTCGTTTTCCAATGGAATCTTTCGAGGATCTCATCAGCTAGTGGATGGGTGGTTGATATCATGGGGTATGGACAGCCGACTGGTGGAGTAGGTATAATACCGTCCGATGCTCCTTTGTGGATGGAGAAGCCAGTGTTGTCTGTTGCTAACTTGATAGTGTAAGTGTTCTCCCTAGGGAGTAGATGGTCGTATACCATGTCCCTAACCTCCCGTGGTAGCTTCCCTGATGGTAGCAATCCGAACATTCTGTCGAGGAGACTGGGGTGTACGAGCTTGGCGTATTCTCTGAGGACATCCGCGAGCGTGTGGTGGATGTACAGTTCCTTCGGTTCAACCTCGGAACGCTTCCGAAGCTCTGCATTGATACGACGCTCTGCCAAACCGAGCTTCAATGTAGCTGTGTCCTTGCTGGTCGGGTCGGCGAGGGACGGTGGACCGCTTTGAGATTTTGGATCAAGTCGTTTCTCGATGTCCTCGAGAGTCGAAAGCTGCTTTTCTTTCCACGCTTTCAGCTCTTGCAGCGTAGAGTCAAATCGTTCCTTCTCAGCTCTCAGTCTCTCCGCAATGGCATGTAGACTGCCATCCTGGACGTTAGCTAAGGCTATTTACGTTACGACAGAAAGCCTTGACTGACCTGAAAGCTCGAAGACGGTAGTGCTCATACTCTGTCGAGGCAGGCGAAGAGCGTCCGAAGACATCTACGAAGCCGAGTCGGTCACTAGTGGTATGGGTTGTAGACATCGCGAACACCTGAGTAATATACCGGGTGGTTTGTTTTGGTGTTACGCAAAACACCAAAGGACCCAGGTATGGGTTATGACACTCAGCTAGCCGAAAAACTAGACCCAAAGAAGCAAATTTGGAAGGCTCCGGTGCCAGTACACTAAAGAACGCGTCAACAAAGATTGAGTGACTTGTTTTTCACATTTCTTTACCTAGGTACACACTACCGTGAGTACGTGATTAACGCTCACTTTAATTGAGATACTCCAAGCTTCCATACGAACCAAGGTTGGGAACTAGACGCCAATCCTATCCTCCGCATTTCATACGACCCACACGCAAAAGAATGCCCCCGAATAAGAAGTACAGCCACCCCGAGAGCTCAACAGATAACGAACCTTGCGATTGACGTAATTTGGACCGGCAAAGCTACTAGTTTCGCGTCCTGGACGACGCAGCGCTTGGCACAAGCGGTGATTACACTTCGTATTGCATTCCGCAAAAGGTAAAGCCACTATCTGAGCAGGGGTATACATCGTCTTAGGGATTATTCACTTATTAGGATATAGCAGTGTATATGCAGCAAATCCAACACGCATCATAGCCCTTCCTGGTATCGTGTTCACATCATCTGACCCTCCGTCCTCATCTCCGCCTTCTCCCCAGCATCCAGACTACGTCCCGAAGGGTACATCTGATGCGGAGATCGCCTCATATACTCGCGGACTTTCGCCTATTGAATCTGATTAGTGCCATACACTCTTATACAAGACTCAGGTTGACGACCTACCTTACGGAATTGCCGGCGATGAGTCCACGTATCGGTGAACGTGGCGCTTCCCTTCCCCGCCGTCCATGTCCACCCGCTAATCCTATCGTCCAAGTGAATCTGGTGGCCTCGAGCCTTCAAGGCCGTCAGGCTCGGGAATATGGCCTCCATGATAATATGAACGTTCTCGTTATGGACAGCGGCGTCGATCTCGATCCCAGCATTCGAGGCTGATAGTCGTTCGGTAGTAGCTAACATGGCTTGGCGTATAGTTGGGTCGGTGGGAAGTAGACACTCATATCCTTTACGCGAAGAACCAATTTGGGAATGCCAGTACATCTCTTTGCTAGGGAAGATCACTTGGATACGTGCTCGGGTATTGGTGAGTTGCTGTAGTAGGTCGAAGCGCTGACGGAGTAGAATTCTACGCTCTTCAACTTGGTAAATGTCCTCGGGCATGTAGATGCTGATTTTGGAGAGCCAGCGTTTTGGTACGATATCCTGCTTCCACGCATCTTGGTTGAGAACCCTGCTTATTAGCGCGTCGTGGTGGATATTGAATTGGCCACGTCGGTAACGAAGTTGTAAGATCTCTAAAGCTGACTCTTTGCCGACGATGGATGGATCGATGTAGTAAGGATCTTGGCCTCGAGCGACACTAGCTGCCATTTGAGTCCGGTGGAAAAATGTAGAGCGTGGCTTGTTGGTCGTCTTCAGTACGTATCTACTGCCCTCCAACCAGATGTCAAACGACGGGTTCTCGAAATCCATCAGCTCAGCGTAGATCATGTCACGCAGCTCTCGCGGTAGGTGATTTTGCACGGCCTGTAGTATTGGTGGGGATTCTAGACGGGAGCATTCAACAGCGGTGTGATACAGACGATCCTTAGCTCGTCGCAGTTGCGCCCTTAGTCTTACACGCCGGGCTCCGTGTCCCTTGGGGCATGCAGTAAAGGTGAAATTGTCGACGGTACTTTGAAGCGGTTCAATTTTCTTGGCGGCTCTGCGTGTTCATCAGCGTGCGGTCTATTTTCATTTGGTGATGGGACTCACTGGTATCCATCTGCACGCAGCTCCACAAGCGTCGAGACCTTGCGTGTCTTCGTATAAACCATGGTTGACTGCGATCTTGGTGTAACTTGGGCGAGATTGACGTATCTGCGGTCTGGAGTTGGCCGTTACGAAACTGAGAGCGGGCCCTGGGCGTGGAGCAGCGTTCATATATACGCAGAAGGTGGAGGCGATAAACCACCGTGATGTGGACGGACCACAAAGTGGATAAATGAATGAGCGATCTCGAACTAATATGCGCTGAACATAAGAACTTATACAAGAGAACTAAACAGGTTGCCGACTACACTAAGACAAAACCATGCAGAAAAGGTAACCTAAGACGGATGTAGGCTCTAGGGTGTCTAACCTTTTCCTAGGCTGACGTGACAAGAAAGAACAACGCTAATGAATGTGGTCGTAATTAGATGAGTTGAGGTACATCCCGATACAAACGTCACAGTAACACCGTCGTCGTAAGCACTACCAGAACTCCAAAACAACATACCACCTGATCACACTGCCTACCAAGAAAGCCCAGCTCCCTGCCATTGCCGCTATAGCTGCATGCACCTTGCCCCGTTCCTCATTCTCCCCACCCTGGAACAGAAAGAAACCAGCCATCATGAAGCCGAGCCCACCAAGCGCATTGAGAATGGCACTCTGCCAATCCGAATGAAAGAACCTGGGCTTGTACCAGCGCTCTTGTTCGGAGAACGCCAACATAGCGTTCGCGACCAAGAAGAGCGCGCCGTGTACCACCTGCGGCCCGAAAACGATGTAACCAAAGAGAGGGTCGTCTTCCGGAACAATGCCGGGAAAGTCGACGATGCCAGCGAACATAAAGATGATGCCCCCAAAGAGGACGATGAGACCAGCCTGGAAGGCCAAGTTGGTGGCCGACAACTCCCAAACCTTCTCCCATGATGGTATCCACTTGAACTCTGGTGTGCCAAGGAGCGCTGGCCGGTATCTAACTTTCTCAGGCTCCAACTTTGACGTTTCGAGTGTACCGCGGTCTGCATTCAGAGCACTGAAGGTGTCGAAGATGCCTGCGACGAAGAAGAAGATCGATCCGATCAATATCGTACTAGGGACGGCGACAGTCTCTTCGGTTTCGAACTCGGTGGAAGGGTTGAGGCGAGGTAGTAGATCGAAGGTGGCGTTGATGACGAGGTCGATAGATCCAATGAGGAAGATGATAGCTACGAGGTAGATGGGGTCGCGGTAGGGAAAGACGGTGAACATGGATTTTAGCCGCACTTTAAAGGAACTGCTATTGTCCCATTCCATAACCGAGGTGGTGTCGAGATAGCGGTCGTCGATGTATGCTTGGCTGTTGTCGGCATTGCGTTCGACATCGAAGAAGGTAGGCTGTGAAGTACGCTCGGAGTGGCATTTTTCGCGGTGTTCAATGTGGTTGACATGGACGAAGGATTGGAGCTTCTCGGTTGAAGCGGGGCGTGGTTGGAGATCGATTGATAAGGTCTCCGATATGCTATGTGGGCGAGGGGTCATGCTCATCCGCGCCTGGCGGATGTACGAAGCACGGATCGTTGCTGAGGCATTCATGTCGAGCCAAGACAGCGGTAAGGACAGTATTAAAGATTAGAAGTTAACGGTACTTGTACTGGGAAATTGAACGAAGGACACAATTCGACACGGTAGGCTTATAGAAAAGAAAGCATCCTCAATAGGCCCTTATGAGAACCCATACCCAGCGCAATCAAACGTTAGTTGGGTGTTGCTGTGTTGATCGTGCGCTCAGACGCCCAAGCCCAAGACTTCACATGTCTGACCCACGAGCTTCGTCATGCTTTTGGCCAACAAGAATCGAGTGTTGATGCTGTCAAGCTCAACCAAGCTTTGTGAAGTGGTGCTTGTTTCCCACTTGCTTTTGGTGTGGGTCGAACAGTACGTGGCGCCGTTCCGGATGGAGGAGTGCCGCCACTTGCGTGTGGCAGTGAACTGTTCGGAGTGAGAGTTATCGGTTTCAGTATTTGCATCGTATGAGACATCGGCCCAAAATAGGGGCGACTAGACGAAAAGGGCCCGGATCGCCGGCAGGCGCCGCTCGGACCGATCATCTTCAGGCACTAGTGCAGTGTGCGCTTCATCCTGGAGGTCGATCTGGAAAGATAGTGGGTTGAAACATTCTTGCCAACTCAAGGCCACGCAAGCAGAAGGAAGGCAAGCGCTTATCGAATGGTGATGTTCAAGAGCGGCACTATCATGGTTGCTGGTGGCTCATTGTGGTACTCAAACACTGGCCTCTGAAACCAAATCGCTGCGCCGTCTTCGAGGTAGAGTTTGTCCCTGTCGCATCGATAGGCCTGTCGGGGGCATTGAGTATATCAACGCTGTCGCGCACGAAGATGCGTGCCGGCGGATGCCGTGGAAGATCCGCGCAGTGACCGTCTCTGGATTATCAATGCACTCTGGACCTGAGTAATGCAAGGAGTGGGCAATGGGCATGCATTGTGCTGGCAGGTTTCTCATCTTGCGTCGGGATCGCCTGGTGTTGTCACTGTTGATGAAGGTGCTGTTCAGACGAGTGGGTGAGAGCGGTCTCGGCTGGAAGGCGGTGCTGACATCATCCGCTAGGCTGGGTCAAGGAGCGGCCCTCCCATCCTCTCAAGGTTTTGGCGGTGGCGGCTTTCGCGACCCATCACAACAACGCTCTTCGCGAACGACTTCTGGCCCAGCTTCTATCTCATTGATTCATCAGCACGCTTCAAGCGCTCTGTGTTTGATCGACATCACTATGATGTTCGTCGCATGAGCGGTCTGCTTATTGATATTTTCTATAATCTCGATCGCCCTCAGTTTCGAGCGCATCACCTGCTCAGTAGTGGACCGAATACAAGAATAGGCACCTTATCTACTTCAAACCCCGAATCGCAAGATAAGACAGCTTCAAGCGCCGAGTCACATTGTCGGTACCTGGGAAGGATGCACACTTGGCCTTGGGATGGGTTTCCGGGGTCTGCACGAAGACCTAAGAAAAGACGCGCCACGTTACGCGAACCCAAGACAACCGCACACCCAACCTCAGCCTACGTAGCCGGAACCGTCGTCTTCACCGTTCTAGGAAGTCCGGTGTGGCATTCTACTTCAGAGACAAGGCTACAGCGACAAGGCTACGAGGCAAACTAATCACTACCAGTTGATGGAGTGCACAGAAGCCTTGCAAACCTTGTACAATTTCACCAGCGTTGAGCTCCAGCGATCCGCAGCTGCTGCGTAGACCGCGGCAAACATCTTCCTGCCAGCGATGATCATCCAAGGGACATGTTTCGCGATTTGGTCACTTCGTACCGTTCACCAGTGTTCATGCGCGTCTACGTTGAGGGCGCGGGAGGATGGCCCCGCGCCCCAACGCGCATACCCGCCGGAAGGAACGTAGCGCATGTCAGCCGCGCCATCCGTCAGCAGCATCTACAAATCATCGCAAGCGCCTATACACCCCAAGATTAGATGCATGACGCAGCGTTGCCGAGTCGCCTATGCGCTTCACAGTGCATCGCAGGACACTAATCCTAGGGAAAAGGCAGAGGGGCTCTGAACAGCGAACCAGAGACGCCAAGGTCCTATTTACCCAGGACAAAAGTGTAGCAGCTTGAGATGAACTGCCGAACTGAACGTCAAGGTAAGCAGTACCAAGAAAGTGTTGTAGCGATATTCTAGGATTGATCGCCTCGTGTACTGTTTTTGGCCCGCACCCTGGACAATTCGAAGCACACGCGAGGCTCTGCTTCACCCATAATTCGCCTTACCAGCTACAGCCTTTCTACTTCATGACCTGCTCTTTCGTCATGCTTAGGGTGATATGGGGTAAGGAGGTCTGACCATTTCACTATTTCCTTATCGTTTCCTTCTGGGTCAGTTTCCTGGACGTTGTCCATTTTTCCCTTATGTCGAATATGAAGTTAGCGAGTGGATATTTCCTGCCCCGAAGTACATCAGCCAGCCCCATCGACCGAGCAAATACCATCAGGGCTGCATCATGGGCCATTCTTATCATCACGATGATGGTTTTCGGAGCACGGCAGATAATGAAGGTTGTTGTCTTTCGGAGAATGGCGCTCGATGATCTTTTAATATTTATCGCTTTTGTAAGTTGCACAACCTATCTCTCGAACTTTGCTAATGCATGCAGTCCTTTGCCGCCAGTCTTTCAATCATAGCCCTTGTCCTGTCGTTCGAAGGTCTCGGCACTGTTGGTCCGTTGACCCCCGAGCAAGCCATCTTCCTTATGAAAGGGTACTATTCGTCTGAGATTGTCTACATCGTAGCCATTGGCTTCGCGAAGTTATCAATCTTGGTAATATTTTACAATGTCGTCGTAACGCAACGCATCATCCGCCGAGCCGTGGTAGCTTTCAGTGCGGTAGTGTCAGTCTGGACAGCGGCGTCGCTTGTCGCAATTGCGTTTCAGTGCCAGCTACCTCGACCTTGGCAGATTGTTGGCCCAAGATGCTTCAACTCGGTATGCAACATGGGACCCAATCAAACACGGTCTGAAAGCTGACCTGAATAGCGCATCTTTGGGATCGTCTATTGTATCGTCGATATTTCCACCGAAGTCGCAATCATTATGCTCTCCATACACCTCGTAGCATACCTACAAGTACGGCTCTCAAGGAAATTCGCAGTCATTGCATGCTTTGCGCCACGCATGCTGGTGCTGATTTTGGCAATTGTTCGTCTCGTTTTGCTATTCCCGGCTACGCTCCATGGCGATCCTCAATACCGACTCTGGGTGCCGACGATCGTATCGCAAGCCCATGTATGCCTCAGCATCGCAACTGCCAGCATTCCATACATGGTCCCCTTCTTCAAAGGTATGGATGGTGACTTGCGAAGGCCTCACTCGACGAAGAGTCGCCTCCATCTCATCGATGAAGAGACAGGGCGCTCAAGGTCCTCGTTGTGGTTTCGTCGACACAATAAGACCAAGGCTCTTGAACTCTGGAACCCGACTGCAGATGCCGTTGTTCCATACAATCGCGTGCCGCAGCTCTCGCCTTATATTCCCGCTCCAAGACCTTTATCGCCTTTATCGCCTCCTCGGCCGCAGACGCCGCTCGGCAAGCAGGCTAGCGTTCGCGGTTTGAACATATATATCCCCTGTCGAGATCCTCGGCGGCAACGAAGCTTAGATTGGGCGAGTCCGCGCACAGAAAGCTCGGGCGTGCTTTCGCCATCGTGCGCATCACCACAAGCTTTGCTTCCGCGATCGTTCATCCCTTCCAGAAAGGCACCCAGCCCACCAACAAAGATCTACAGCCCCAGACCAACTTCCTCAAGCTCATGCTACTCCAGTCGCACCCCAACGCCGGCTTTGACTACGCCATATGCGGAACGCTTCTCGCTATTCCCGGCTCAAAGCTCCTCCTCCGTCTCACCGCAGCCACAGTACAGCCCATCTCGGGTGCCACCAATTCGAGCAATGCGATCGCAAGCGATATCCACGGGCGTAAAGTCTCCTGGTCCGCCAGTCCTGAAGAGTCCCTCTGGTCCAGGGGCGCTGATAACACGGTCGTCCAGCCGTGCGCAGCCTCGGAAGTTCAGTACCACAACGCATCTTCAGACGCCACCGCTGATGACTACATATGAGGGGACTGCAATCAGACCCGGTTCGATACAAGACTTGACTTCCCCCATGGGTGCAGCCATCAATGGCTGGTTTAGCAGTGCCAAGACAGACTATCCTTCGCCATCGTCACCCATGGAGGCCCCACCGAATTGGCAACCCAAGACCGATCAATACGAGCTTTCACCAATGCGCTCAGTCGCTCACCCAAGATCGCCACCTCCAAGTCATATGCGCTCACATGCTCGTGCAGACATACCGCACGATGCGCCGCCGCTTCGTTCGCCTCACGACACCCTACTTCAAACCCGAGCTTCCAGATCGCAAACCATTCCTGCTGTACGCGATGTGCGGCATAGTCCGAGGATCGTGCATTGTGACCCCTTCTAGCTGTATATCCTTCAGTTTCTGTACCATTTTGTCCTTCGTCTTGCATCTGGGCGGCGTTAAGAGGGTTCCTTCCAACAATTTGTCGCATTGAACGATACGATGATTGTATCACGAACTGTATAACATGTATTTGTACTTTCCTCTTACGGGTCTGTCTCTAGACCACAAGGTTTTGGCGGTTCTCTTCTGGCGTTCATGGAGTCGGAAGGATATGATGTTGATTGCCTCGGCATTCTCACGGCGCGTATTTGCAGCTATTTCAACAAGCTATTTCACGAAGATTCGATTCAAACGCTTTCACATTAATGTGCGCAAAAGAAGCACTTTCTCCACACGACGAGTGAATGGGTTGCGTCGTGAAACCTCGCCGCTTCCCCACTTTCACAACAATGGTAGGTGAACACTACGCTTGCAATCCATTATAAAAACTCCCAAACTTCACCCTTATCGACAGTTCACACCAATCATTACTCTCAATCAACTCGGTCAAACTCTGATGTCTGCGGCATACAGCAAAACGACTGCCGACGTATTCCGTCTTTGGAAGGTCGACGGCTTCACGGATTCCTCTGGACGGACATCGTGTGCCAAGGATGAACGAGAGCACTTCCGACTTCGCTGCCTTGCACTTAGGAATGTTGTGTCAACCCTAAGGCAAGATGATCAGTCCAAGCAGGCGAAAGAAGTGGAACTCGAAGACTTCATAGCCCGGAAGCTTGGATACACGGACAACCCAGACAATGCTGCGCATGCTGCCTTGTACCAGAAGCGCCTGTTAGTCCACCAGACTACAACTCAAGCTGCTAAAGAAAGACTGGCACGCGTTGAAGCAGAGCTGGAATTCGTTCTGGGGCACAATAGCGAAGCGAGGGTCTTTTGCGAACTTATCTCCGAGAAGTTACCCACGGAGCTTGTAGACATAGTTTACGCTTTTATCGAACCCTACCCCAAGGAACTTGAAGTCGACTATGACGTCGAACACAAAGAGCCTTTGGGAGACGAATCCGACAACCAAGAAGTCGTGGAACGAGTATACACCTCTAAGTCTCTGAACGGAGAGCTCAATGGAAAAGATTGCAAAACGCCCTGGTATCTAGACACCAACATCGTGAGCCCTGAGTTTGCCGAGGAGAAGATGAAGACGTTCCATCGCGAGACAGTTTTCTCCATCGACCGGTTAGTACACCTCACACGCTTCCTCAACCAAAACCGTTGGAGGGAATACGAGCACCTGGTCCCAAAAGAATTCGTGCGCAACATTCATCTCAAGATACCGTTAGATATGTGCCACGAGGAATGGATGGGCCCGGAAGACTCGGAAACTGAGGAAGAAAGCCAAGCATATCTGGACTCAATCTCAGGCTCTGCGGATGAAGATTTAGAATATGAAGCGTACGACTCAGTACTTGAGGAAACTCCAGAGCTGTTGTCTCTATGGCGACTCGTCGCTGGAAATACTCTCTTGAACGAGCTCGCGCCGCTACAGACCCTCACACAGAGAGGTGTTCGAATTACTATAGACGTCCGGCCCAGCATGAGGACTTGGTCCTTACTTCTGCCGAAACATGTCATGGAGGCATGGAGGGACTCTTCCCACGACGGCCCATTCAAATACGAGGGGGGCGACGAAGCAGAGAATGAGTGGGAAAACACGGAAGACTTTGAACTGATTGGGCGTCTTCTGCTGCTGGTGCTGATGCAGAAGTTGCTGCCGTTCTTCCAGGATCTGGTTAAGAAGGGACAAGTCGTAACGATTTTGGATGGCCGAGAGAAGTGGTCTTGGGTCATGAGCAGGGACAGCATGAGTGTGGATGACTTGCTTGAATGTAGGCAGGCCTTTTGGGCTCAGAAGCCAGAAGGCGTTTTCGGGGGCGAGAAGTTGGAGTTCCGTATACCGGGTGTTGAGGACGTTGGAGACGTATAAGTCTTTGACGGTCAGTATGCTTGAGTAAGGCATGCGTTCCGTATGGATATAGTGTTCTATCAATTCATGGTTTGCCGTCTACATCAGCGTGAAAACGAAACTTCACACACTCTGGGATGTAATGTAGACGTCTGGGTGATTTCCAATGCCTTCTATGAGTTCGTGCTTTACCGTCTACATTAGTATTAACATGAAGCTTCACGCACTCTGGGAGATCATGTAGACGTCTGGGTGATTTCCATTGTCCTATTGAAGTAGCCTTAGAAATGTTCGCTACCTCCTTCAACCAGAGTGCATGTACACACATCATTCCAACTCATTCATTCATCTATGTGATCAAGTCAGTGCTGGTCATGCACACTGCATCCATCTTACTAACATGAAGCCACTTCTGCACACCCTCTAAACAGCCTTTCGTTGTAAAGTCCAGCGTGTCCTCAGTAAAGCTCGCGCATCGACCCGATACTGTCTTGTAATCTTCAAGCTTCAGCCGTAGTCTCCAGCCCTTGCTCTTGAGCTTTTGCAGTATTGGCAGCAGGGTATTAAGTAGATAATTCCTATGTCTCACATCGTATTCTACAGCGACTGTGAGGATGCGACTCTTGCTATTCATCGGCATCAACGTGGTGAGGAAATCAAGGCGCCGCTTCAGCACCATTTTGGGAGTTTTGTGCAGCATCAAAAGCTCGGTGATTGGTGGCGAAGCTCTTGTATACGGTGTGTCGAAGCCGAATTTATACCCTGCCTCCTCCATCTTTGTGAAGTGGCGCTCGTTGATATCAAGCGAGATTTTTGAGACTAGCTTGTTTAGATCAAGCTGTAGTCCGGACGTGTCTGAAGCGAGAAACAGGGCTATGTTCTCTTCTTCACTCGGAAGTTCAAATGTGAATTGCGTCGTGCGATAGAAGCGCGCAACGAACTCCAGGTAAATCTCTGGGCCTAGGCCCTTGTGATGAGCGAGCTCAAAGCGTTTTCCGTCATCCGCATTTTCAAAAAATATACTGCCAGCTTCGGCTTTTCTGACTACGACGTGACTTGGCATGATTTCTTCGTATATGATGTCGCGAAGCTCTTGTGGAAGCATGTCGCTCAATTCCATGCTCAGGCCAATGTAGGCAATGCTTGAAGACGCATGCGGCATTGTGCTTGTGTCTTGCTCGCGCTGCCTGATCTGCGGAGTTTCTGCCTTACTAGCCTCTTTCTTGATGACTTCTGGCTTGCTAGTGCCGAAACGTGCGTCCAGAGTAGTCCAAAACATCTTTTCTCGATGCGACTTTTCCTGCAACTCAGCGCTTCGCAGCTCAGTGATCTTGCACTGCATGTCCAGATCTTTAATGCTGGCCATGATGTCGGAAATGTCGAGATGGAATTACAGTTGCAGTTTGTAGTTGTTTTCTTGCGTCTTAGTCAAGCGAATGTAGATATTTGTAGTTCGCGGATGTGTTTTGGTACTAGCGTCAAGTTCTTTAATACTGTCTGATGTTGAAGTTGTCTAAGTTGAAAAGCCAGGAATGCAGCCATTATATACGATTCCATCCTCTGACTCAGATCGGAACGCACGGGGAATAGCTAAAGTATGTGTCATGTCTTGCTGCGCATGTGACTCGGACCTGAGCGCCGATGCGATACCCTGGTAAAGTCCGTTCTATCCACTGCCCCCGGTGGTATTGCGCTGACGCAGAGCGAACAACGATCCAATCAAGCCATCCCAAATATGTCGCATCGGCACTGGAGATAGCGAAAGTATGCGTCATGTCTTGCTGCACACTTACCATTACATCATGGGAAGTAGAGACTTTCTAAGCCATATACTCGTCTGGCTCCGAGAACTTTTGATGGGATATGACACAGATTGTTCTGCTTTGCTGCATACACACTGTTGTAAGATGACAAATGGATAGTCTCTGACTCGACGTTGACGTCTACCTGGAAAGTATTCTGTGAAAAAGGCGGGTGGTGCGCCGACCAACCACAGTGACTGTACTTCTAACGACACCAAATTTTCACGTAAAAGGGCTGTGTTCGCAGGACGTGCATCGCGATCACATGGTACTGCAATGACCCATACCATGACCCACAGACGACGTCCGCATCATATGACGGAAACGGGGATTGCGACTTGAAGTCACGGGATATATTCGGCTCATACCAGCGCATCGCGCCCCGCCACGTCTTAGCCCACAGTCCTCTCCCCACCTAATACTCCCTCTTCACATGCCACAACTCCCACGGCGCCTCCCACGCCAACAAAATCCCAATCGCCTCTTTGTACTCCTCGCTCTTGACCGCCTCCTCAAAGTACTGCATACCCTCCCACCCCCTCGCCACAAAAAAGCACTTCGTCTTCTCCTTCTTCACATCCTTGTGTTCCAGCTCCTCCATCACCCATCCATACGTCAACCCTCCACTCCCCTTCAAAGCCTTCGCACACATGTCGTTGAACTTGTTGAAGTCCTTCTCAATCTTATTCCTGAACGACTCGTTGATCTTGCTGGCTGGGAAGTAGATCTGCACGAATTCGACTAGGGGAGAGGACATGGGGCCGTTGTTGTCGAAGGCGGATTGACCGTCTTTGAAAGTGACGTGGAACATCTTGTTGGGGTTTCCGAGGGTCTTGATGACGGTCTCGCGGTACGTGTTTGCTTCCGCTGAGGACTCGGCTTTGGGGTCGTGCCATTCCGATGTCAGTTGTAGATTGCGCTTATCCTG